TCGATATCATGTGGGAACCTTATATTTGAATATCTGTAATAGCAACAATCTACGGAGCGCCTGTAGATTTACTGCCCAACAGCTTTTCTTTAAATGATATTCACAGTATTCCAAATCCTATCTACAATGGGTTGTCCTATTTATAATAATTTCTGTGTGCCTGAGATGTCTATTTTTCCTCTATGGGACTCTCTTCCAAGCCAACTGGGCAATATTACCACCTACTTAACAGGGTTTTACATACATACAACAGCCCTGAAGCTTAACTCTGTGTCCTGCCTTGTGAAAAGAGCTCTGGCCTGGCTTTCACCAGAGAGTGAAGCTGAGGTGCGGGAAGAAAGGGAGCATAATAGAGTTATACGTAATATTGTGTGAGTGACCCCAGACCTCATTACGCCAGCGGGGCCGTTTACCTTTCTGGGTTGGTTTTTATTCCACTTTGCGTGGCCCTGGCTGACAATGAAGTCGCCCCAACCCAGGTCTGACAAACTTGCTAAGAGACGCACTGTATGTTTGTACAAACGATTCAAGGGTACCTCCACTCTGCAATGAAAGACCCCTGACATGGGCAGGCCTGGCTCAGCTGGCTGGGCCGCACAGGGCTCAGGTTGTGGGTCTATAAAATTGCAGTGCAGACATTCGGGCTGGGGCTGGAGCCCCATGGGGGAGGGTCTCAGATCTCAGGCTCCAGCCCAAAACCAAATGTCTACACAGTTCATTTTAGCCCCGCAGCCCAGGCCTGAGTGAGCTAACCCAGGCTCTGACTCAGTGCCACAGGTTTTTTTTATCTCAGTGTAGACGTAACCCAAGCCACATCTCCAGCTAGTGTAAATTGGCCATAACTCCATTGGAACCCGTGCGGCCAGATCCCAGCTGGTGGGAATCAGAGGGGAGGATCTGGCCCATGGGACTTGCAACACACACACAGTTTGCAGGCAGTCCCCAGCTGGGAGGGGGGATGTGAAAATTCACTCCTGACACAGCCCCGCAAGGGGCAGGGATGAATCAGCCAGGCTGAGCTGATCATTCACACTCAAATCCCCAATCAGCTGCTCAGGGGCTTGGGACAGTTTAACCTGAGTGAGGGGGCATGGATCTCAGTGTCATGGGCTGTGGGTGGGACTCGCTCTGCAGGTTTCTACAGTTAAAGGGCAGAGAGGAGGCATTGCTGACTCTGTCCCTGCTGGGTCCTGCTTGATGGGGTGGAGAAAAGTGAGTGTGCGGGGAAGGGGCTCGTTAGCTGTTGTCTCCAGGGAGCTGTTGCTCAGATGGAGGACAGCGTAACTTTACAAACTGCTACCATCACAATTTGCTACCGGTCACAGTTACTGACATCTACTGCGTCTGAGTCTGATGAAGTGGGAATTCACCCACGAAAGCTCATGCTCCAATACGTCTGTTAATCTATAAGGTGCCATAGGACTCTTTGTTGCTTTTGACATCTACTAGGTATTCTTTTCTGCTGCTCTGTGATAACGTGCTGCCACCTCCTCCCACCCCCCCGTGTCCAAGTGTAGCAAAATGTGATGGATGGGGGGTTTGCCTGTCACAGTTTGCTACCATCCCTCATCTGGTCCGGGGGTAGAAAATTGTGACATGTGAGGGGTCGTGTGTCACAGTTTGCTACCTCTCGCCTTTCCCTATCCTTGGCTCAGAGGTAGCGAATTGTGATGACACCTGTTTGCCTGTCACAGTTGCTATTCTACCTTTCTCCAGCCTCTGGTCCAGGGTAGCAAATTGTGATGGACGGAGGTACGCTTGTCACAATTTGCTAGCTCTCACCTTTCCCCATCTCCCGATCCAGGGGGTAGCAAGTTGTAAGGGGGTCGTAAGTTGTCATTGCCCATCACAATTGGCTACCATTGAGAAAGCTCTGTTGGAAATTTGGACACAAAGAAAGAAAGGGAGTGTTGTCCTTTGGAAAAGCACTTCTACAGGGTTAAAATGCGGGGCTATCGTATGTAAACCCCATAATGACGGTATTGGTTTTTTCTTTATTAGTCTCATTGCCAGGGGATGCTGTGAAAACTATAACTGGGTTCAAAAAGGAATGAGGTAAGTTCATGGAGGATAGGTCCATCAATGGCTATTAGCCACGAAGAGCCCGCAGAGTTGGCTGCTCCGGGATGTGCCGTCTGTGGTGCTCAGGGTTGGGGAAATAAAGCCTCAAAGAAGATTCCCAGACAGCCTCCGAGTCCGTTAAAGGCCATTTTTACTCATGACTCACGACAAAGGACTCTGGGAGTTTGAGAAACTAAATTCAACTTTATTCTTTCCAAGCCAGAAATAAAAGCTAAAATCTCCTCCTCACACTCAGAGCCCAGCTCAGCGCAAAGCATTTCAGCCCCAGCTCAGCACGGTGCTGCTCCCGGCTCCCGCAGGCATCAGCAACGGAGCAACGTTGTACAGTGGGCAGAAAAATGCAGCGGCTCCATTAGAGACGCCGGGATTCAGTCACAGAGAAGCAAACGCTGCGAGAGCAGGAAAGCCAGGGAGCTCGGGTTAACGGGAGCCGGGGAACGGTGCGGCATCTCCAATCCCGGCTGAGGGGTTTATCCCCCACGGACGTCCTTGGCGTGCGTGTGGTGAGTGTGACACAGAGAGTCTCCGTCGTCCCAATAAAGGATGCTGTGGAGGGGGATAGCGGTGACCATCGTGGTTCACAGACTCCTCATTGCCCTCCAGTCACAGTGATGGACATCAGCTGGCCTCAGGGCCGGCCAGGCCTGTTGATTTCCCTAGTTTCCTTCCTATCTCTGCTCAGCCTCATTCACCCAGGAATCACTGATGCAACCAGCAACTCCACAAGCAGCGTCATTTGTAGCCCTTTAGGATTCAGGGACAGTTTCACCCAGCGATCACAGGCTAGTTCCTGTCTCTCTCCGGCTCTAGTACAGCAAGTGAACAATTCTCAGCCTCAGCTGTCTGGCTCTCGAGAGAAAACCCTGCAGTTTCCCAGCCCTTTATCTCTCTCCCGGTCGTATCTCCCATCACTGCAGGGATCCAGCAGGAACTTCCTTCCCTGTTTCAGTCTCTGCCTCTCGGCCTGCGACTCTCACACTGGCCCCCATCGGCGTTTGTGCTGATGGTGATGTATAATAATCATTGTTCAAACAACACTAAGATCTCATGGCAAAGGGTCATAAAATGGTACCAATAAAATAAGACAGTGTTCTAGCAAGTGGTCATTTGTCTTATGGCATCCCCAATAAACCTGCACTACATCCTGTAAAACAAAACGAATATCCTATGAGGTGACCAAATGGCCTTCAGCAAATAGCTCAGTGGTTTGAGCACTGGCCTGCTAAACACAGGATTGTGAGTTCAATCCTTGAGGGGGCCATTTAGGGATCTGGGGCAAAAATCTGTCTTGAGATTGGTCCTGCTTTGAGCAGCGTGTTGGCCTAGATGACCTCCTGAGGTCCCTTCCAACCCTGATATTCTATGATTCCAAATAGGTCACAATACAGGGTGGACTATAAGACACTCTCAGTTTCATAATAATCAACATCCCAGAGCTTGTTTCAGATGATTCAAAATCAGGAGAACAGACTTACCCATGTTCTCCTCTGAACTCTCGACACCTGCCCTGTTTGGAGCCTTCTTACACGGTCACATTAGTTACAAAAGTTTTAACATCATCCTAATGAAAGAAGAAAACCAAAACTACGATCTGCAAATAATCAGAGGTTGGTAGGAAAGATACCAGAAGCTGCTTCACCAGTATGTGTATATTGGGATTTAAGCTCAGAACGATCACAGAGTGTGGGGGATTCATTTGAATTTCTCCTCCAGGTCTGTGACACTTAAATCTCCAGCCCTCATGAGTCTGATTTAGCATGAATGAAATCAAAGACATCTGCAGGGGAATTGGATTTAAAAAAAATAAAATAAACGAAAGCCAGTCCTAGTGATGGAACTGATAGAATTTCTCTCCTGTGTGGAGTCTCCAATGTCAATTCCACTTGAAACATTTTTCAAGTTAAAGATATTTAAGAGGTCTATTCCCTGTATGGATTTCCTGATGCCTGATACAAGCTGACCCCAGCTGAAGCGTCTCCAACATTCAAGGTTTCTCTCCTGTGTGGATTCTCTGATGTCGAACATGGGTTGATCTCCGACTGAAACTTTTCCCACAGTCAAGGCATTTATAGGGCTTCTCTCCTGTATGGATTTTGTGATGTTTAATACGGGCAGAGTTGTCAATAAACCTTTTCCCACAGTCCAGGCACTTATATGGTCTCTCTCCTGTGTGAGTTCTTTGATGTGAAATCAGATTGGAACTCCAGCTGAATCTTTTCCCACACTCAAGGCATTTATAGGGTTTCTCTCCTGTGTGAGTTCTCTGATGTGAAATGAGGTACGCGCTCTGATTGAAGCTTTTCCCACAGTCTGGACACTTATAGGGTTTATCTCCCGTGTGGGTTCTCTTGTGTCTAGTAAGGTGCGCGCTCCGATTGAATCTTCTCCCGCAGTCGAGGCATTTATAGGGTTTCTCTCCTGTGTGGACTCTCTGATGAATAATAAGGGCAGAACTGTCACTAAATGCTTTCCCACAATCCAAGCATTTGTAGGGTTTCTCACCCGTGTGCTGCTTCTGATGTCTAACAAGCTGCATGTTCCAATCAAAACTTTCCCCACAGTGTAGGCATTTATAGGGTTTTTCTCCCGTGTGGCTACTCTGATGTGAAATAAGATCTGAGCTCAGAACAAAGCTTTTCCCGCACTCCAGGCATTTATACGGTTTCTCACCCGTGTGGGTTCTCTCGTGCCTAATAAGATGTGAGCTCTGAATGAAACCTTTCCCACAGTCAAGACATTTATAAGGTTGCTCGCCCGTGTGGGTTCTCTCATGCCTAATAAGATGCGAACCCTGATTGAAACCTTTCCCACAATCAAGACATTTATAGGGTTTCTCTCCTGTGTGGATCCTCTGATGTGAAATAAGATTTGCGGTCTGATTGAAACCTTTCGCACAGACAAGGCACTTATATGGTTTCTCTCCAGTGTGGATCCTCTGATGGGAAATAAGATGTGATCTCCGCATAAACCTTTTCCCACACTCAGTGCATGTGTTTTTTCTCTCTTCTGTGGGGATTCTCTGCTGGGCTGTGGTTTCCTTGAGATCCTCACAATCTCCACTATGATTTATGGATTCACACGTTTTCTTCCCTGGGTCGTATCCCAGCAGCCTCTCCGACCTGCGCTGGTTTTCGCACGTTTTTCCTGGTTTATGATTCTGGTAAAAATTCCCCTCGGATCTTCCCAATACCGTTCCCTGCAGACCCACGTCCTCACCACCTTCCCGCTGTGGATTCTCCTTCTCATTCACCATCCCAGCAACCCCTGGAACACAGAGAGCGAATCCAGACAGGAGTCATCCCCCGTGCCGGGGAGAAAAGAACGAAAGGGGAACAGCAAAGAGGGGGAAAAACACACAACTGCTGGGGAGACTGAGAAAGGGAACATTTACTAAACCCCTCTGTAATTTTTCCTTCTCTGAGGTGGGTCCCTGGTGCGCCTGGATCCATTAGAACTGGGATATTTCTCCTCATCTTCCAAGCATGGAAGCTCCTCTGTAGTTTCACAGTGTACTGCACCAGGTACAACAATGGCACCACAGGGTGAAGCCAGAAAGAGAGGTTTTAAAAATAAAATTAAAAAAATAATAAAGCCTCCATGATTGGAAGAAATAACCTAGTTCTAACAGACAACACAGAGCACCAGGGACCCACAACGGAGAAATTGGATTCTGCCTCCAGATCCCTTCCAAACACCCAGGGGATTGTAAAGTCCGGGGGCGGGGAGCTCCTGCCAGGTCTCAGTCAGCGTGGGTGGGTGACATCTGCCCCATGGATGGAGCTAGTCCCAGGAAGGGAGGGGAAGAGACATGAACGAATACAGACAGGACAAAACAATGCTTCTGCCACCTCAAAGGATGCAGGATAGAGATGAATGAGGCCTCCCTTGTGTTTCCGACTCTCCTATCCCAAGTCTGTTTTAAACAGGCTGTGGGGACTATGGGGTCATTCCCCTGAAATTGAAGGGTCTGTCTGCACAGCTGCTGGGAGGTGTGATCCCCAGCTTGGTAGATGGACAAGCACTAGTGTCTGACAATAGCAATGTGGCCAAGGCAGCACGGGCTGTGGCTCAGACTAATCACCTGAGTACAACCCTGCTCTAACTCTGGGCATGTACTCGGGTGGCTAGCCCAAGCCACTATCTGCGTGGCTATTTGTAGGCGCTAGCTCTAGCAGAACTAGTGCATGTAAATCTACCTGAGCTGGGAATCCCACCTCCCCGATGCTGTGTGGACGTAACGTAAGTGACCAGAGAAGAACCTGAGTAGGAATCAAACTGGCCACATCACAGACCCCCCAGCTTCCAATAACCAAGGCAACACAACTCCCTTACCCAGCGAGTTCACCGTCTCATAGTTCTCCTGCATGACGACCCTGTAGAGGGCTCTCTGAGCGGGGTCCAGCAGAGCCCCCTGCCCCTGGGTGAAATACACAGCCACCTCCTCGAAGGTCACCGGCATCTGAAACAATAAGCACCAGAGATATAGAATCCCACCCCCACCCTGCTCAGAGCAGCCCGGAGGCTTCAGGAGGGGAGAAAGAGAGAGCACCCTTGTCCCCCCCAGCCAATGGAGGAGGGCAGGGGCCTTCCCATTTATCACACACCTGCTAGGCAGAGGCTGATACAGGAGATGGAGCCCCTCAGCAGGGTCCAGGGACAGGAATCCCAACCCCCTCCCCATTCCCAGCAGCTGGGTGTGAGGGGACCGGGCCTCTCCCGGGGGCCTCACCCCTGGGTGCCCTCTTTGTATTTCACAGCAGCCTCTCTCTAGTGGGTTCAGGCTCCAGCACTGAAAGTCCAGTCAATTTTCCCAGCCCTGTTGGTTTCTTTCCCGTTCCAGAAATGGGGGAATTTTTATTCCATCCCCCAAAAGGGCCTGTTCTGAACATTATGCCACAAACTGAAGACGTCCCAGCAGGCTTGTCCCATCCTGTCCCCACCTCCCTCGCCCTGTGTATTTCCTGCTCCAGCCCTTCTAACACAAACCCACCAGCAGCCCCCTGAAACTCCCCTCTCTGAACGGGTTTCCCATCCCCCCACAGGATGTGTTGTAGTCACTGGGATCGGGCAGTCCTACCCCTGTGGGGAGCTCCATTTTCAGACAGAGAGTGAAAGTTTATACACAGTTACAACCACCGATAATAAATGTTGCTAGGAAAAGGTACGCAAAGGAGACAGGCTGGGTCAGCCCAAACAGAAAGTTCTAAATACACATTGGAGGAGTGGGCCTGAAACCTGGGTCTCCTAAAACCCAGATGAGCGCCCTGCCCCAGGGCTGGAGTCAGTCTCCCTCTCTCTTACCCAACACATATGAAACCATTTCTACATGGCGGAACAGCTTCAATGGGAGAGACTGAGACGTACCCTGGAAAACCCCAAAGCCTTGTGCACCTAACTGGTTCACAGCTGAGAGTGACCAAGTAGAGATAGCTGCCTGTGTCCCTTGAGGGGCAGGGGCGTATGACCCACCCCTCTCCTCAGCATTTCCTATTGGCTAGCTCAGGCAGCTCCCCGGTCAGCATGCTGTATTTTGTGGATCCAATTTTTAGCTCTGCCCAGGTATAAAACTAACTCAGGGCTGTGAATTCCACTCAGAGGCAAAGCATCTGAACGTTAGGTGCTGCTATGCTGATCTTGTAATGCCTAAACCCCTTTGTACATCTAGCCCTCCGCTATTTTCCCATCAGTATCTGGGAGACACTGGTCCCTTAGCTGAGGGAGGCTCATTAAATATGGAGGAAACAACTTGATTCGCAGATATCAGGGGGAAAGTTTATCACTGGGGAGTTTAATCTCCCACCCACCCAATCCCCATGTGGTGTTATGGATTTTTAAGGCCAGAGGTGGAAGAGACCACTGAATTTAGAAAACCTAATCTGACCTCGTGTATGGTACAAGCCAGTGCAATTCATCCAGTTACTCCTGCATTGAGCCCAGTCCCTTGTGTTGGACTAAAACACATGTACCAAGGTATCCACTGCTGAATTTAAGAGATGGAAAATCCACCGCTTCCCTTGTTAGTTTTTTCAGTAGTTAATCACCCTAATTTTCCATTTGTATTTCTCTGGCTTTCACTTTCAGCCATTCTTTCTCCTTACGCTTTTCTCTGCTAGAATTCAAGAGATCTTTAGAGTACCTGATCATTTCTTCTTGTAATCAAATCAATGTCTCAGGGCAATATTTCTCCTCCCAAATTGAGGAGATCTTATCTAATTCAAAAATTAGAGTGCAAACATCAGTGAATTTTGAGGAGATTTTATATTACTATTTGATAACTGAGAGAGAAAATACGGAAATGATTCACGTGTAAGTTAATTAGAAAGGAGAAGTCAATTAATTTTTCTTAGTAGTGGGTATTTAGAGAAATAAATTAGCAGATAATATATTAATCTATAAATAGAGAAATTGAACAAAATTTGAGAAGATTTTATATTAAAATCTGGCAAGTGGAAAAAAGGGGGAAAATCTGAACGGTTGTAGAGAGGTATTTTATTAATGGAGAGCAAAGGGACTAGACTAGTGGTGATTGTATTGCTATATTTATATATAGGCCTGGCAGATTTTTTTTTAACTAAGTCAATAGATAATATCAATGTTTATTTTTAAGGGTTTCCATTTTATTTTTATTAAGTTTTCACAGTAGCAGGAAATTACAGGGTGAGTCAGACAATAATTATGTCATGACTGTAGATATTGGGATTAAAAAGTTAAAGCTTTATAACCATTAAGACACACACTGTCAGCATCACATGTCAAAACATACCAAGTAACTATCCTTAAATCAAACTTTAAGAAGTTTGAGAACATGACCTATGAAGGAAGGCTGAAAGAATTGGGTTTGTTTAGTTTGGAAAAGAGAAGACTATGGCCTTGGCTACACTCGCAGATTCAAGCGCGAGTGTAGTCGCGCCACCAGCACTGCGAGAGCTGTCTCGCAGTGCTGCAAGTACTCCACCTCTCCGAGGGGAGTAGCTTGCAGCGCTGCGAGGGAGCGTGCAGCGCTGCAGGCTCTGATTACACTGGCGCTTTGCAGCGCTGCACTCGCTGCGCTCGGGGGGGTGTTTTTTCACACCCCTGAGCGCAGCAACTGCAGCGCTGTGAATTGCCAGTGTAGCCAAGGCCTGAGAGGGGACGTGATAGCAGTTTTCAGGTATGTAAAAGGGTGTGATAAGGAGGAGGGAGAAAACTTGTTCACCTTAGCCTCTAAGGATAGAACAAGAAGCAATGGGCTTAAACTGCAGCAAGGGAGGTCTAGGTTGGACATTAGGAAAAAGTTCCTAACTGTCAGGGTGGTTAAACACTGGAATAAATTGCCTAGGGAGGTTGTGGAATCTCCATCTCTGGAGATATTTAAGAGTAGGTTAGATAAATGTCTATCAGGGATGGTCTAGACAGTATTTGGTCCTGCCATGAGGGCAGGGGACTGGACTCGATGACCTCTCGAGATCCCTTCCAGCCCTAGAATCTATGAATCTAAGTTCTCAAACATTATTTTTCTTACTTTGCCTCTCTGTTCATTTTGATTATTATCCATGGAAATACTTTTTCATCTGTTTGAGTGTAGGGTGAAAGTGACGTTTACCCTAAAAAAATCTAATTTGTCCAAGCCTATTTATACAGAAGAGAAATGAAATTTGAGCAGCTTGATCTCACTATAACCCCCCCACACTACACCAGTAGCAGGTTATCCAGGCTGCCTGGCACATGGGCATTAGGATACAGGCTGTGAGCGGGTCACACTCTGGGCTGTTCAGTAAACCAGGATCCTGCCCCCGTTCAGAGCAGGTGTCTCTGATGGAGCAAA